AGAGAGAGAGAGAGAGAGAGAGAGAGAGAGAGAGAGAGAGAGAGAGAGAGAGAGAGAGAGAGAGAGGCGATGGCGGCCCGCGGAGAACCCTAGCGCGGGACGTCCGCAGGCTCCGGTCGTTCGCGCGTCCAGACGAGCTGGTCCCCCGCGGAGGTGGTCGTCCGTCAGCGACGATCCACCGGCGACCGCACAGCACCGACCAGCCAGCAGCCAGGCACAGACCCAACGACGGTGGGACCCGGTAGCGTTTCCACAACGCGCTCGCGCGCTGGAACGAAAACGGCCACAAAAACGTCCGGGGGAAAAAAAAATAAAGCAAAAATAAAAACGGTAGCATCAGGACCGAGCTTCTTCGATGGTCCAGTCACTGTGCCTCCCCTCCGGTCCCCTCCCCCTATGAACACCAGCAGTCTCTGCTCAATGCCACTCGGGGGGACCAACGGCATATCTCTAGGTGGCGGGCGCCAAGCTTGCCCAGGAATTACATGAGGCCAATGGGGATTGAACCCAAGACCTCCTGAATGCCACTTGCGTGCCTTACCAACTGAGCTAGGCCGCTGGCTTTGCCGAGGCATCACGGTCATGGCCTACGCGACGGGGCCAAGACTGAAAAAAAAAAAAAAAGTCAGAGGGCCTTGGTCCACTATTCTTGACATTCACAAAAAAAAACAATCATGGCGGTGCATCTTTCCATGTTCTAGGAGAAGATTCACTCTCGTTTTGCACATTTCGAGAGTGTGCAAAACGAGAGTGAATCTTCGTTAGAACATGGAAAGATGCACGGCCACGAGGCCCCAAGGATGACACACATAGGACGGGAAATCTGCGAATGAAAAACAAAAGAGAAAAAAAAAAGAAAAGAAACTGGGTTGTTGTCAGCACGTGTATCCCCCAGGGCCTTTACGCCTTTACGCTGTTGTCAGCCCGTGTATGCCGTTGGGCCCCTGTATCCCCGTTGCACAAAAGACAAAAATCATGGCACCGTATCTTTCCATGTTCTAGGGCAGATTCACTCTCGTTTTAGATCAATCATGGAAACCGAGAGTGAATCTTCCGTTAGAACATGGGAAGATACAGCGCCACGATCTTTCGTTTTTGCTTCTTGTTTCTTCTTTTTTTTTTGGAAAACGTTCTGGCCCTCCGACGTGGATGACTAGACTGCAGTTAGAAACTTTGCCCTGTGACAGCCATGCGACCGAGGAGTTTCGACTGCAGTGTAAACTTCGGAGGGGACTGGACTCCAAAACGGAAGTTTGAAACGTATTTTCAAACTCTAACCCTGACCGCGCCCTAGTTTTCTCAAAAAAAGAAAAAGATCACCTATCTTGTTTTGCAATTATGAAGTTATTTATTTGTTGAATTATTTATTCTGAATTTTCCTAAGATCCTTGGATTTACTGAAACATTGTGTGAACTGCTAGTTGTCAGTCCATAGGAAGTATTAGGAACATCATCAACAACTATGGAATGCATAATGTCAGGTTCATTATTAAAAAAAAAGAAAAAAAAAAAGGTTCATAAGGGACCCTGTGCCCACTTTCCAGCACGTGCTGCTCCTCACGAATATGGATCGGACTGCCTTGTGCTTAAAAAAGGGAAATGTCTTCATCAAACTGACCGTCCGTGCAGTCTTGCCCCGAATACAACGTGGGGTCATTATAGCTGTATCTAGACTGAAAGGATGGCTCAAGTGCAGCTTTAATGACCCTAAATATACAACATACGGTCATTATAGCTCTATCTAGACTGAAATGATGGCTCAAATGCACAGCTATAATGGCCGTACGTTGTACTTGCGTGGAGAAGGTAGGTCACATCTGTCTGTAGAATTGAACTCCTCTCTCATCTCATCTGGGGCAAGGTCCCACTTGCGCAAATTAGGAGATTTCGGCCGTTGATCTTTGCTATCTACGGTCAATATCTCTTAATTCGTACAAGTGGGGCCTAGCCCCTGGTACCACCAGTGGAGTTCGCACTCCGATGCCTTTACCTCATCGGAGACAGCCTCCTCTCCCCATGACCTCCAGAGCGGCGGCGTGCTCTTCCAGGCTCTGGTATGTGTATTTCAGCAATTCGAGAGTGGATCAGCTGAGCTAAGGCAGTTGGTGATCCAACATTTTTTTAATGAAATGGGACAATCACCAGCTGCCCCCCAACCCTCCTCCCCATCCCCCCCCTGCGCGCCCCCCCCCACCCCACCCCCACCAAAAAAAACAAAACAAAACAGCTCCAGTGATTATTTATTTATTTATTTATTTATTTTTAACAGCTATGTTGCTTGGTATGAAAAGGACAAGAAAAGTATATGGACTTCATGGGAAAGGCAGGAAAGATGGTCGGTTCAATGGTAAAATTCCTTGCCCCCGACGATCTCCAAAGGTCAATGCTTCAAGGTTTGAGAGAGAATATTTTTGCTGACTGGTGTAGGTTAGCTAAGTTATATGTATGATGACTTAGAGTTAAGGGTAGCTAAGTTTAAAAGTAGGTGGAGCTCCGCAGACTGTTGGGCCATCCCATCAGTACAAGGAAAATTGATCTTCTCCTCTCTCTCTCTCCTGTAGATCAGAACAGAAGCAGCAAGTTTATAATTGAGGATTTGTAAGGATATGAGAACTGTCCCTACCATCATCCGCCATCGTATATTCCAAACACAGTTTTTTTTTTTTGTTTTTTTTTTTTTTTTAATTTTTAAACACAGGTATTCAACCAAGGTTAATTTTTTTTCCTATTCTGGCAACCAGGGTACTCGGTTGCCTCTCTTGCAGTAGACAGACTGAACAATTCCCTTCCCGTTTGAGATCAAGAGACCAAACACTACAAGACAAGATTCTAGCCTGAGCTAGGGAAGGAATAGAGCTGAGAAGCCTTTTTCTCAGAGCTAATTAGCCGTAATAGGCTACCATTTGAGCCTCATATACGAACTTCAGAGATCTACAAGAGCCGAAAGACTACAAGACAAGAGCCAAAAGACTACAAGAGTTTTTTTTTTTTTTTTGACATCATTATACCAAGTTCAGCAACAAATTGAGGCCGGGACTACAAGATTTCCAAGACTGCAAACGTTGGTTACCTTTTCGCATTTCCTTCTTATTAGACGAATTCTGTTCATTAGAGGGTCCCACCCTACCCCAGCCCTGGTACAGGAATGGAGGAGGAGTAGGGGATCATCAGGTTGACAGTCCCACACCTTCTCAGTCAATCCTCTGATCCTCAGAGCAATCAATGCTGGCAGGCTTCTTCTAGTCACCATCCAATTTCCTGCCTTTCCAATGTACTTCTTTGTCTTATCTGTGTAAGGGACGTTGGACCCGTTTTCCAGCAGGTGACACTCCCCACCAATAGATGGCCGCACGGTGCACGAAACGAAAACGAAACGAGTGCATCTGCCCACGAAAGGTGGAAAAATACACTCGTTACTATTTATAGCAAAACGATGAACCTGGCCATTTTCTGCAGGAAGATGCACGTTTTCCGTTTCATCTCCCGTGCGGCAACGCCCTATAGCAGTTGTTATTTTTCTCTACATTTCGGTGATGACTAAGTCTTTCGGTGATGACTAAGGGCCTCGTTAGACACTCCTTACGAGTTCCTTGAGCCACAAGGAAATCTCCTTGTGTTTTTTTAGGGGAATTTGCGGCATCGTTCCACTCATCCTTGGGGACCTCCCCCAAGGATGTTTCCTTGTGGCTTACCCGCGACCGTTTTCATACGTAAATTAGCGGCCGCGGGGTCGGTCGTCCTTGGTCCAGCATCTTCTGTCCGTGTGGAGGCGGCGTGGTCCAGCGACGCGAGGTGGGAAATGGCATACAGCGGGCGACGCGAAAAGAAATTTAACCCGAAGGGCGTGGGCATTTCAAACTCGAAATTCGAATGACTTCTGCGACGACGACGACGACGTGTGGCTGGCGGCGCGAGGACGGCGTGCTGCGTAAAGGGGCTCAGCGGCGGCGGAGGTTCCGTCCTGAGGCCGTTGCGACTGCGCGGGCAGCATGTGGTGCGTCCATCGCCGTGGACCTTTGCACACGTCGACTGCGCCTTGCTCCTCGTTTCTGTGTGCAGGACTGTAAGCAGAGAAAAGGGGCCACCTTTCGACGGACGTCTTCGGCTTCTTCGTCAGGTGCGGAAGGACGACACAGATGACAGCGGAGGGACGGGTCCGTGTCCACGTCGCGGCTATGGAGGGCGGCGGAGAGGGTAGACGTGATGTGTTGACGCCTCGTGAGCTGCAGGCCGTGGCGGCGGCCGTGTCCACGATCGTTCTTCGATGTCAGCAGGAGAGGGCGCTAGGGCGACTGAAGGAGCAGTTGCGCGCGCGTAGATGGAGGACATTGACACAAGGTCTGGACGATGGGGCCGAATACGTGGCGACGTCGGATACTGTTGTTCAGCTGTGCTACGCGTTGGGTTGCGGAGTGATTCCTCGTGCGACGCCGCGGTGGTGGGTGAAGTGCAGGACAGGAGGCACGTGGGAAGAGCTCAGGCAATGCGACGACGTGACAAACGTGGGAAGACACCGCACTGCGTTGCCGATTGCTCGCTCCGGAGGTTGTGGCTGTCGGTCTGCCGTTGGCAAGTCGTCGATCCATCCTCTTGGCGTTCTTGGAAGATCGCCTTCTGCGAGCCGCGACCAGGATGAGGCCGACGAAACACACATGGAAGAAGACAACGACGAGAAGCAGCACGACGACGAGGAGCAGCAAAGGCAGCCTGTGCAGCAGGTCGGCCATGTAAGGGCCGTTGAAAGGGCAACAAACCGACGTCAGTGGTCGACCGTCCAACGAACAAGCCCGTCGACACAAGAAAGATCGGTGGAAGACTTGTGCTCCAACGTGCGAGGCGTGACGACAAACGAAGAAAACGACGATCTTCTGCAATGAAACTGTCGTCGTCGAAAGCAGCGTCGGCTGGGAAAAGCATTCGAATTTTGGACCGTTGTCGACGATCGCCCGCCGCAGTAGACCGCAGGACGCCAGCCGACAAATCGCGTAGACGGACGGAGGCCTCACGCGAACGGTGACCGTTTGGATCCGTTGGGGCGCCGTGCAGATTTTGGAGGCAAGGATGTCCGTGCTCCCGTTCGCTGGACCACGTTTGGACCACCCTCGAACCGAAATTATGCGTCGACGCATGCCTTCGCCACTCCGAATTTCGCGCTTCCTTGTGCTCCGAGGGACCTCGGGAGGTCCCTTGGGGGTTAGGAAAAATGGCTCTGGTCACAAGGATGCCACAAGGAAATTCCCTTGTGGTGTTTTCACTTTTTTTTTCAAGAATCGTCCGCAAGGACAAGTGGAACGATCATTTCCTTGTGGATTTCGGGTCCACAAGGAGTGTCTAACAAGGCCCTAAGTTCGATGTTGGATCCGAGTTGAATCGTGAGGTCCCCGGCCTCCTATTTTTCTGATATTAATGATAAGTTTTTTTTTTTTTTTTTTTTTAATGATAATTATGATGATGATGATGATAATGATGGTGATTAGTATATAAAAGAGACAGACACTATGCTATATCAATGATTCTAAGCACCTCCTGAAGCCCACAACAGGTTTTCCAAAAAACTCAAGTATCTAAGGGATTTCCAACAGATCCTAACAAAGCTCACCGAAACTGACTTATTCTCTGACAAACTCAACCAGGCCTCACGCCCCTTAACTGCTAGGTTACGGAGCGGCGCGACTCACTCCAGCTCCGGCCAATGTCGTCCTGTGTCAGCAACCCCCAGCTGTCTTTTAGGATGCCCCCCGCATAGCATCCCCAGATCTCTCTGCAAGGCCTCATGCCCTCACCTTCGGCAAGCTACAGGGCATCACCCCGGCTCCGGCCAGCGTCGTTCTAGCAATGGACAGCCACGAATCCTGAATATAACACTCTAAATCCAGTGCAGCTTTGTACAACCCACCGGCAAACCCTCAGAGACACGAGAAATTCTTCAAACTACCAGGCATAAGAGAAGAAATCCGATCCAAGAAGCTTCCAAAAGTCACTGCACAGAGAAACTTCCCCCTGGCCACTGTCCCATGCTGCCACCGCCGATGAAAACCTCCTCGGCCCCAACCTGGAACAGACCCCCTCCTCTCCCCCTTCCCCAAAGGCAGCCAATTCCCTCCTAGAGGATACCTTCGCCTTCCCCTTGTCCCTATCTGCCCCCGCCGGGGTTGAAGGCGACCAACTCTCCCACCTCGGCCCCAGACAAGGACAAACCACAAATCTGCCCCACCCCCAACAGGGCAGCCACCTCCCACCTTGCGGCGCCCCTGTAGAGTAAGGCTCCCCAATACCACCCCCACCCTTCCCCCAAGAGTCCCAACCGTGACCACAGAAGCCCTATCCCGACTGAAGCACATCCGTCAGATCGAATCCCTAAAATATATGGCAGAACTGGAAATTTCTAAAAATTATGATGGTGGGAGAGCTAGATGAGAATTTTTTTTTTTTGCAGATGGTGATAAACATCATCCTGAAGATGATGATGATGACGACCAAACTCAACACCTAATGATGACAAAATGTCGATGGTGATAGTAATGACGGAATGATGATGCTGATCATACTGAAGAACAGTACCAACAACACACTATGATTGCAAATTGATGATGTTGATGATGATAATGATGATGTTGATGATGTTGATGATGTCAATGATGATGATGATGATGATGATGATGATGATGATGATGATGTCGACGACGCCCAACGCCCTGTGATGACAAAAGGATGATGATGGTGCAAATGACGAACACCTTGGATAGTAACCTAGTGATGATGATGAGAAGGGTAAGCAACGCCCTGTGACGAACAAGCTTCACCAACAGCGCCTTATGAGAGTGAGGTATTGATGATGGCAATGATATTGACGTTATGACAATGATGATGATGATGACGAGCAACCTCTGCGGCGCCCTATGAAGACCAGATGATGATGATCACCCCCATACCTTGATGTTGGTGACGAGCGACACCCTTATGATGATGATGGTGACGACACCTGACGATGGTGATGACGCCTGATGCTGACGACGAACCATTACCGTGATGCTGCTGCCGAACCATGCCCTGTTGATGATGACGGTGATAGTGACGATGATGACGAGCAGCACCCTGATGATGATGATGATGAATGATGACGGTATCAAACCGCATCCTGATGATGATGATGGTGATGCTGCCTGATGATGTAATGACGCGTGATGCTGACGACAAACCCTTACCGTGATGATGCTGTCGAAACACGCCCTGTTGATGATGACGGTGATAATGACGATGATGACGAGCAGCACCCTGATGATGATGACGAATGATGCCGGTGTCAAACCGCAACCTGTTGATGATGGTGCCAGTGATGATCAGTGCCCCGTTGTCGATGCCGAGCAGCGCCCTAATTTTATTGACGCACCCACTTCCTTATGATTGCAATCGCCACTGCACTCGCACTTCAGTTTACCAAGGGCTGACTCCACTGTACTCCACAGGCGTCGACATAGCCAACGCCTCTCAGACCATATGCCACGGGCAAAAACGCAGCGGCAATGGAGCGGAACGTGGAACTCCCGGAAGCAAAGAACCAACGGGAGTTGGCCCACTCTGCCACATCGACCTGTGATGTGGTGTGGACAAGCGCCTCCGGTCACCTGTGCATGCGCAAAGCGCCTGGTTGAGAGAGGAGATGGTCGCCATCGCTGCCGCACACCTTCACCATGGCATATCCGCGCGGTGTCCCAACCCTGGGCGGGGCGCAGCGCTCCCGATAGCGCTGCGCCCGCCGATACTCGGCCTCCTACCATCCTTCCGAAGTCGATAGGCTACCACATTAAAAAAAGAAAAAAAGAAAAAAAGGACAAGAACAGCGGCCGGGGGCCAAGTCACACTAGCGGCGTTGAGCTACATCAACGCCTGAATCTGGACGCTTTTGTTGATATGTGCAGAAATGGTGTTGAGTTTCATGAACTGCTCGTTTCCACAAACACGTCCAGATTCAGGCGTTGAGGTAGCTCAACCCTATGTAAATCTTCATATGGGACCTGGGCCCGGTTCCCAGCACGTGCTGCTCCCCACGAATAGACTGGAGCTTTTTTCTTTAAAAAAAAAAAAAAAAAAAAGAGCTAGCTCAACGCTGCTAGTGGGACTTGGCCCCAGAAACCTCACAATTCAACCCGGATTGGTGAAAAAAAGGTCGCCTCCAGCATCCTATCTTGGGTATCAGACTGGAAAGCAGTTCCAGTGAGGGGACGAAGATGGAGGCGGCGCTGTAGCGCTCCAATTCGACGATGCGGGTGCGTTATCGTTTAGGGTTTCTTTGGCCATCGCGGAGTTCGTTTGCCATACCCCGGGGCGCTTAGCACGGGGAAGGCGAGTTGGGCAGCTGTCGGGCTTCATGGTGAGTCCGAGCAAGGGCGACATGAACTTGTCCCTGGGATGTGGCGAGGTGAGGTGGTGCATTAAGGGTGAGCGGAGTCTTTTTCCTTTTCAGACAGTTTTCCTGAACTTTAGAACCGAAGATCGCTGCAGGGTCAGCAAACTTCCTATGGAACATGTGGCTCCCACATCGTGAGGGGCTGTGTACGCGTATCATGGAGCGACCAAGCGCGGTCTGCTTCATTGAATGACACGTGCGTACTAGACGTTGGCGGAGGCTCTTTGGTCAGTGCGACCAGAAGGTTGCACCAGAGCAGTGCGTCGAATGGATTTCTCAGCTTGGACATAATGAGCTCGCAGGCGATTGGTTCCAAGATGGCTATCGCGAGTTATACACTGCTTCCCCAATATCCCAGGATTTTGTCGTATTGCTTTACTTTGCTTTCGGGCGTGGCTTGTGACAAGGGCTTCTCTTTATGAACGTACAACTCCTTTTTGTCGTTTCCTTCCAGTCCAGTAGTTGTAGTGTCGCAGAACTTGGCTTCGCAAGGTCTTTGATCTCCGGTTCTATACATTCTCGCTACAATTTCTATCTTACTTTCTAGCTTAGGCAGGAGGAGTCACAGCCCGTGGCCACTGATGTAAGGGGGGTGTGGGGGGGTGTGATTTCGCTCTTTCAGGCAAGTTACAGCCCGACTAGGGTTTTGCCTTCCGACCGTAACCGTGGCGTTGGCCAAGTCCCCGTGTCAAGGAACCTATGATATAGCGTACTACGCTTTGGGTGGTGTTGTTTCAGTCCGTATCGAGCTTCGATCCTCGTCGAAGGGGGTGTCATACTGGATTTCACGCAGGCCTGGCTCCTGGCCGATTTTAGGACGTGGTTGGGACAGGTGTTCAACCTGGATTTCGCGAGATGCACTCTGTTTCTCCAGTACTCCTAGATACTGTCGTAGTGCTTTAGTGTTCGTTCAGACGTGGATTGGGACTAGGGTTTCTCTTTCTGTCATGTTTATTTATTGCACTTAGGGGTCCGCAAGTCTCCGGTTTTCTGGTTCTACACTCTCGTCACAAACACAGATCCCACCTTCTGTTTTTAGAAGGTGGAGCAATGGCTTACAGCCTAGGCCGCCTATGTACGGCTGTTTGGGGGTGTGATTTCGCTTTTTAAGGAAAGTCACAGTCTGACAGGATCTCGGGTCCCGGCCGGAACCGAGGTTTGCTGGCCTAGACTGAAACAATCTCCGACCCTGATCGAAGGGGGTGTCATACCGGTATTCTCGCAGGTCAGGCCCTAACCGTAATTTCCCCTCGGCCGCTGTCCCTCGTGGAGAGGGGCCCCCGCCCTGTCCCGGTCGGATAGTTGCGCTCTTGTCCTATCAGTCCCCCGTACCACCTTTCTTGCGATGGCA